AGTATGAAGGCTATTGCTTAATGCATTGTAAGCCGCCCTGAGTCTCTGGAGAAGGGCGGCATCCGAATAACCAAAGACCTACACACACACACACACACACACACACACACACACACACACACACACACATATATAGTGATAACCAAAGTCTTTAAAATATCTTTAAACTTAGGGCTGGCAGGAAAGGGAGGGCATGGAGCTTTAGCTTTGATGTTGAGTTGGGCTCCCAAATTCCTTAAATTGCCTCCAATCCTCAATACATTTGCTTTAAGTGTTGCCAAGCAACTGAAACAACTTATTAGGACAGCTGTGTTATTTCTTTACTTTACAATTTTAAATGCTTCTCTCAGATGATGATGTTGACATTAAAGGTGGCCTGCAGAGAGATAGCTCCCCCTCCCCCAAATGAAAACATTTATTGACAAGTGCAATAGCAAAACATGCTTAACTTTTTCTGTTTAAAAACTTGAACAATTGGAGAGTATTACAAATCATTATTTTCCGCCTTCCAACTACTGTGCCTGCTGGAATATTAACGGAGGTTGCCAGAAAGGCCATCCGTTTCTAGGCTTGCCAATTGCTTAAATCGGTTTTTTGACACTCAGAGAAAATAGGAGGCAAAAATTGTCTTGTTGCTTTCTCCCTTGAAGCCTTTACTCAGCATATTTCTTTTAACTCGCTTGTTTCACAATTCAACAGTATATTCAACTTGCAGAAAAGCAAATCTACACGAGATCTGATCCCTTGTTAATAATTATCCTTAGTCTGTTGATGTGATTCTCCAAGCTTGTTCAAATTACATTATTGTCCTGACTGCTGCTATTTTTGTGACTGTAATAACATTTATCAATCTACACTCTGATTAGTGCACAGATTGTACTTCAGTATGCATGAAACAACATCCTGACGTTGTTTATCTTTTTAAGCAATATTTTTGTGTATTAGTACAATAATTTAACACATTCCAAAATGCCTGCCACATAAGGATTGATAATCTTGCTGAGTCTATTGCAGAACTAAGATACACTTTCACTGCAAGAGAAGGCAAATGTAACAAAGGAAATACAGGTAGTTCTTGACTTACAACAGTTCATTTAGTGACTGTTCAAAGTTACAACAGCACTGAAAAAAGTGACTTATGACTGTTTTTCACACTCACGATCATTGCAGCATCCTCAAGGTCATGTGATCAAAATTTATTTATCAAAATAAATTTCATATTTATGACAGTTGCAGTGTCCAGGATCATGTGATCACATTTTGCGACCTTCTGACAAGCAAAGTCAATGGGGAAGTCAGATTCACTTAACTGTGTGATTAACTTAATAATTGCAAGAGTTCACTTAACAACTGTGGCAAGAAAAGTCGTAAAATGGGGCAAAACTCACTTAACAACTGTCTCACTTAGAAACAGAAACAATTAAAACATATTAAACAAATTTGGCCCATACTAATTAAAACACCCCTTTTTAAAAAGCAAATTAAAATTGAACAATTAAAAAGAGTTAGGCCAGCCCAGCCTGTTGGAATAAAAATGTTTTGAAGGCACGGCGGAAAGTGCGTAAGTCCGGGATCCTCTGTATCTCCGGGGGGACCTCGTTCCAAAGAGCAGGTGCCCCCACAGAGAAGGCTCTCCCCCTGGGGGCCTCCAGTCGACACTGTTTGACCGACGGCACCCTGAGGAGCCCCTCTCTGTGGGAGCGTACTGGTCGGTGAGAGGCTACTGGTGGCAGAAGGCGGTCTTGTAGGTACCCAGGTCCAACAAATGATGTGAATCATTTGTTGTGGTCCGCCAGCAGTCTGCGGAGCTGGCAGCGGAGTCGGACAGTGAGGAGGCTGGGGAGGACAATGGGTCAGTCCTGGAGTCAGGGGAAGGCCCAGACGAGGGCTCTGCGTTGGAGGCAGAGATGGGGCCAGGGCCATCTGGGAGTGATGCACGGATTCTGGAGCCTCCAGAGGTGGACAGCAGGGAGGCAGAGGAACAGGAGGAGCCTGTTCCTAGTGCACACATGTGAAGAACTGCCAGAAGGCAAGAGCGGCTAAAGCAAAAAGGACGACTCGGGAGTAAGGCCAGGAGATGATTGGCCCCTCCCATAAGGCTTAAAAGAGCAGCAATGGCTCTTGGGTTCTTTGTAGGAAAGCAACGTTGCTACAATTGTTTCTTGTCGGCCTCTCTTGTTTCTGAACTTTGTGGGGTTCTAGCCAAGAAAAGCCTTTGGCAGGGTGCCAAAGAAGACAAAGGTTTGTGATAAGGCTGAAGGACTTTGTCTGAAGGACTTGTTTTGGAATTAATTTGGATTAAGATGAGAATGAAGTAATTCTCAGCTGTTCTAATAAAATATGTTTGTTTATGACTGATTGTGTCTGGTAATAACTACTTGGGCCTACGTCACAACATCATTCCTAAATTCTCTTCCAAAATGAACCATTTGCCAGCAGTAGGAAATTCTCCAGCTCAGATGGCTACTGCCTGTTGAGAGTCTTCATTTTGCTAAGGGAATTGAGGACAGAGTTCATTTATATAAACTGAAAATACCTTCTTGTTTAACATAAGGACTTGGATTGCTGAAGAAGAGGTCAAAAGATTATTTTATAGCTTTAAAGCACCAACTCATATAAAGTATGACTTGCTCTGATGAGATGTCCATGGATACATTCCGGCTGAAAAATATAGAAAGCTCTGGTAAACTAAGGCTCCATATTGATTTAAACCTTGACTTAAACAAAGAATTTGGGGAAAAAACCCAGTAAGAAATATAACAATAATAAAAAATAAAAATAAGAGATTGCAAATTGAAAAAGTATACTAAAAAAATCCCAGATACCCATATGTCCAATCTTGAGGTGAAATACATGTTTTAACAACCAAAGTCCAAAATAATATTAATGCAAAATGATTTTTAAAGAATAAACATGTGTTTCATTTTAGAAATGAAAATTTCATTTCATTTTTTGTTGTGGCTTTTTTGGGAGAGGGGGTGGGAGCTAGGAGAGACAACAATCAAATGTGCCATTTGATGGGTTCCATAACATTCTGGAGTCCCCAGGCCCATTGGCAGAACCATGTCTTCAGAGCCTTAGGGGGGAAAAAAGCCAATCGTATTTCTGTATGGATGATGTTCCACATGGAAAAAATCCTTCTCTTGGTCCTGCTAGATGGGTCTCCTTAGGAGAGCGTACCTGTAGCATTCCCTGTCTACCTGTTCTGATGGATCAGGTGATTATGATTGGGAAAATACTGTGCTTCAAGTAACCGTTTCTCAAGCCAGGCAGGGCTTTGAAGGTGACAACAGGCAGCTTGAATTGGCTCTGGAAGCAAATTAGCAGCCAATGCAGCTCCCACAGGAAAGGTGACACAGGTGGAAATCTCTGTGGTCATGTGGCCAGCATGACTAAATGCCAAAGGCGCACAGAACACTGTTACCTTCCCACCAAAGGTGGTCCCTATTTTTCTACTTGAATTTTTTATGTGCTTTCGAACTGCTAGGTTGGCAAAAGCTGGGACAAGTAACGGGAACTCACCCTGTTATGCGGCACTAGGAATTCGAACTGCTGAACTGCCAACCTTTCTATTGACAAGCTCAGTGTCTTAGCCACTGAGCCACTGTGTCTCCCTCCCTTTTTTTAACAATTGAAGCTTCCAGATACATTTTAAGATCAGCCCTATGCAGAGTGCATTCTTTTCTATGGACCAAAGAATCCCAAACTCAGAGCTATTTCATCTTCCCAGAGTTCATTTTCAGCTGTTGCTCCCCATCCAGCCCTTAATAGCCTCCAAGCACTGTGAGAGGGAGATCACAGCATCACTTAACTCATCATAGGCTGAGACATATAGCTGGGTATCATCAGCATATTGATGATATCTCAGCCCATGGTAGTGGACGATCTTGCCCAGCATCTTCATGTAGATGTTAAACAGAAGCAGAGAAATTACCAAGCCCTGCAGGACTTCGGAAAGCAGGGGATGAGGACGAGATCTGTCACTTCTTATTAATGCAAACTAGAGCAACCACAGAGGAAGAAAGTGAACCAGCACAACAAAGTATTCCCCATTCCCACTCCCTGAAGCCTCTACAAAAGAATACCATGGTCAATGATAGCAAAGGCCACTGAGAGATAAAGTAGAGTGAGCCTGGATGAACTAACCCCATCCCACTCCCACCAGAAATAATCAAATGAGCAACCAATGCTGTTTCCATGCAAGTCTTAACCCTAACTGATGAGTCCAGATAGTACATTTCATCCAGGAACCTCTTCAGCTATCACACAATCACCTTCTCAACAACCTTCCCCAGAAAGGAAAGATATGAGATAGGGCAAAAATGACCTAATAGGGTGGACTGTAGCAATGGCCTCTTAAGAAGAGGGTGGACCACAGCTTCCTTAAAAGGCTGGGTCACCATCCCCTCCCAAAAGAAGCACTAATCACTGCTAGAACCCACCTGCATGTCACCTGAATATGCTGAATATTTATATTTATATTATAATGTTTATGTTAAATATGCATTGAGAAACAGACATCGGAAATAATTCAGCAGTTATTATGAGGAAAATATTAGTGATTTTTCCTCCTCAATTTCAACAGAAAACAGAAAGCACTGATTAAATAGGCATTTTCACCAAAGGTCAATTGGTTAACATTCCTGCCAACATTATCCAGAACTATTGCAAGTTATTCAGTGTAATCTTAGCAGATAACAATGACATATGTAAATTATTTTATACTAAAGTTTTAATGATATGCTGAAATATTTAAAAATTATTCTATATCACAAAGTAGTTTGATGAAATTCATCAAATTAAAGCTCTAGTCACCTTCTCAGGGTTTCTTTCAAGGTAATCTGTCATGTTTAATGCAATAGTTTTTATATAAAACTGATGAAATACTCATACCCATATGCATCATTTTAAATATTGTTAAAACATTTTTACTGAGAAACAATAAAGTTTGTTGGTGGTGCAAAAGGTTTGACAACTCAAAACAATACACTGAAAATAGATTGGATCTTCAAAATAATTTTAATTCTGCTCCTTTAATGTACAGGTGTAGGGCATTTAAAACAAGAACAGAATGAGAGAAATATTTAAGGTTATTAATTCTGTAAAATAGTCTAATACTTTTTAGAACATATTTTTTCAATGTATTTATGAAATATGTTATGGCATGTTCTCAAAAATATTGTTTTCACTCATTAATTGCACAGTAAGATTACATTGCCTGAAAAGTATTGAAAAATACACACCATTCAGAGAAGATGCTTTTATATTCTATTTTACAAAACATGTTTCCAATAATAAAAGATATTAAAAATAAATAGAACTTGGGTATAGTTGCTTAATGCAGACTTGCTAAAACTAGTTATTTGCAGTGAATGAATTTAGGTTGCTGTTTACAGAATTGATAGAAAATAATCTTTACACAATTTTTTATAAATACCCTTGAGCACATTTTGTTTAAAAAAGAGAAAATCTATTACAACAAAAATAGCCTTCTTAAGATTTGAATTATTTTTCTCTAGAAATGCTAACTTGCTTATAACATTTCCCTAAAATACACATCATATCCAATTTTCCCTGATTGGACTGAATTTTAAGGAATAACGATATAACAGGAGGAAACCTTGTAGATGAACAAGGATGGATAGGGATGAAATATACAAAGTTGAAATCATTTAGCAATGTCCTAATGACTCAAGTTACCTAATATGGTGAAAAATACACACTAAAAGTGCATTATATTATTTTATATACACATAACTTAAATGCCTTTAAGTTTAATTATGTTAGCTTTCTTTTTTCAGATTTCCCCTTATCTCCAGTAACTTGGATTCTATTGTTGTAATTATCAGTCTTCTCAGGTTAAAATGTTCTGATGAACACCTGTTGCTCTTTATCATTATAGAAATGACATAATCGTTGCTGAAAAATAATTAGTAGGAGGCAATACAGTTAATTTTGAAAGTTAGGCATTGACCATTCTATATGGAATCAGAAATTTTGGAAATTAAAGTAAAATAAGGCCACAAAATTAGAATCAGTTGACTCTTTTACCTGAAAAAGCCCTACTTGCTTACAGGATCCGATCCAATTTAGATGGCAGGTTTCTGTTTCTGAGCATATCTCTTATTCATTTTCTTTAGGAAAACTTCTGGCAAGGAAACAGAACAATTAAATAATTGAAGGGCCATTCCCTAGGACTGACAGCTTTTTTTTAATGCTGCATGCATGGAAATGTCTCCTCAAGCAAGCAAGTAAACCACAAGCATTTTTTAAAAACAGAGATATGACCATAGTATTAACATAAATGTCTGAATAATTTATTGTAAAAGAAAAGGTGCTTTGTAATATGCTTTGTTCATTATAGGTATCACTCACAATTCTTACCAGCACAATATAATATGATGAAATTTTGATTAGAAGCCATAGAAGAATAAATTACCGAACCACTTGCAAAATCCATTATAGTACTTTTTAAATGTCTGATGATGTTGAAATATAAAAGAGGTAGCAAATCAGAAGGAAGATGATCTACTAAATAATGAATGTGCTTGTTTAACTGGACTTTCCTTGCCTGGCATATCAGCTATACAGTTAGCCCTTGCTTAACAACCACTTGTTCAAGGTTATGATGGTGCTGACTGAGTGGAACTTAAAACTGATTCTAGGAGCTCTGGGCATCACAAATGTCCCTGTGGTCACATAATCATGATCTAGGCACTTAAGAACCAGCTCACAATTTGACATCATAGCATCACATAATCCTGTGATTGCCATTTGCTGGCTTCTGACAAGCAAAGTTAATGGGGAAGTCATCAGGAGGTCACAAATGGCAGCTGCACTTAAAAGTGGCATTGAATTCACTTAACAGTGGCAACTGGAAGTGCCTAAGTGGCCGTCACTAACTGGCATGGTTATGTGATGACACACTTTGTAACTGCTTGGCTTAGTGATGGAAATTCCAGTCCCAATTATTGTAATTAATTCAAGGTTACATGGATTTCCAACACAAGAGGTTTGTAACATCTTTGACTGACTACATCTCTTAATAGCAATAGCACTTAGACGTATATACCGCTTCACAGTGCTTTACAGCCCTCTCTAAGCAGTTTACAGAATCAGCTTATTGCCCCCAACAATCTGGGTCCTCATTTTATCGACCTCAGAAGGATGGAAGACTGAGTCAATATCGAACTGGTAAGAATTGAAGTGCTGAACGGCTGGCAATCGGCACTTAGCAGAATTAACTTGCAATACTGCATTCTAACCAGTGAGCCACTATGGCTCTTTAAGCATTGCTAACTCTATCTTTGCAATGGATGCTATATCTTTTGGATCCCAAGTTGTGTTATCATTCATTTCCTTATTTATTGATTTTATTCTTTCATAGACAAGATTTTAGAAGAATCTAGATGTTGCACCAGTGGTTCTGATTTAATTGTATTTATTTTATTTATTTATTTAGTTTGTCAAACATGTAAGAGATAACAGGTATAAGTATAAAGATGAATATGAACAAAGGAAATGGGTACGAATAAATGAGGACAGTAGGACAGGGATGGTAGGCACGTTGGTGCGCTTATGCACGCCCCTTACAGACCTCTTAGGAATGGGGTGAGGTCTACAGTAGAAAGTCTAAGGTTAAAATTATGGGGATTTGGGGATGTAACAACAGAGTCAGGTAGTGCATTCCAGGCATTGACCACTCTGTTGCTGAAGTCGTATTTTCTGCAATCGAGTTTGGAGCGGTTTACCTTGAGTTTGTATCTATTGTGTGCTCGTGTATTATTGCGATTGAAGCTGAAGTAGTCATTGACAAGTAGGATGTTGTAGCAGATAATTTTGTGTACTACGCTTAGGTCAGACCGTAGGCGGCTTAGTTCTAGGTTGTCCAAGCCCAAAATTTCAAGCCTGGTGGCATAAGGTATTCTGTTGTGATCAGAGGAGTGGAGTACTCTTCTCATGAAATACCTCTGGACTCACTCAATTGTATTAATGTCCGATATATAGTGCGGATTCCAGGCAGATGAGCTGTATTCGAGAATTCATCTAGCAAAGGTTTTGTATGCCCTAGTTTGCAGTACAATGTTACCAGAGAAGAAGCTTCGCAAGATTAGGTTAACAACTGTTAATGCCTTTTTGGCAATGCTGTTACAGTGAGCTCTGGCACTTAGATCGTTTGAGATGAGTTCTCCAAGGTCCTTGACAGAGTGAGAGTCGTCTACGAGGTTGTATCCACCCAGCTTGTATTTGGTGTTCTGATTTTTTTTGCCAATGTGTAATATAATATAAAATAACATAAAACAGAAGAGATTAAGGACTTGGGAGAAATTGGATTCAATAAGAGCTAGCTTGGTTTGGTAGTTAAGTCACCAGGTTAGAAAGTCAGAAACCATGACTTCTCGTCCCACCTTAGTTATGAAAGCCAACTGGGTGACTTTGGGCCAATCACTCTCTGTCAGCAAAACCCACTGTATAGAGTTGTTGCTGTTGTGGGGGAAAACAGGCAGAGAAAGGTATATTGGATATGTTTGCCATCTGCTGTTATTTGTAAAAATAATAGAGGTGGGATACAAACAAACAAACAAATAAATATCCCCAATTTAAGAAGTATTCTGTGGCAGTCAATGACATAGAAAAAATATTCAAATGTGGAAAGACCTCCCAGAATTTGGATTAAGTTTTTTGTTCTCCTTTTTTTAAAAAAAACTTTTAAATCGCTTTTAGCTTAATCATCACTCTAGATTTAGATCAATTTTTGCATGTATTGTTATATACTCCTTGAAGTTATTTTCACAGTAAGAGCTATGGTAGCTTACAGGATCAAAGACTCATGTTGAGTAGACTGCCAACTATGTCAGACTTTTATACAAAAGTCTTAATATTATTTTGCTATGTTTTGAAATCATGGCTAACATGGCATCATAGGTAATTAAATTTTATGGATAGTTAATAGGTAATTTGCTTTGGATACTTGAGTTCAAGTTCTCACTTGATCACATAAGTGAATGATTTTAGAGCCATTGCTAGATTTTGCAGGGATAAAATTGGGGGCTACATTGTCTTGATCTTGGATAGACACTCCAGATTTAAATGAAATAAATCAATGAATGATGCTTCTCAGGCCCCTCAGGAACATTTTTTCCCAAGGAATCATCATTTGTTCCTGAAGTCCAGGTGGGTGATGGTTTGCTCTGCTAAGCACAATTACTGCAATCTCATCTTTTCAATTTTTATTTTTTCCTAGTTATTGTAGGTATGTATTATTAACTATTGCCTCTGAAGAGTCAAGATCTACTAAGAAGGTGGCAAAATGTTTTGTTTGGTATCCCTTCTATCCGCTGGGAATTGCAAACTCTACTGACTCTAAAAGTAGGTTAAGTTTATTTCCCTGATTAATCCCTTCTTTACTTCTCCATTATTCTATTTTACCCTTTATTAGCCTATTGTTAATAGGTTTCTTGTGTCAATTTATTTTCTGTTCAAGACATCTTTCCCCACACCAGCTCCTTCTGTTCATCCTACCTGTGTATCCTACCTATTTCCTTGGTTGCCTTTCCATTTCCTCCTCCTTTCATTACTGGTGGTTTTTCTTCTTTTCTCATTCCTAAAATTCTGCTGAATACATTAAAATGGTCCTGTTGACCTGTATGAGCATCTACAATTTCACTTAACAATGGTAATTGGATCTGGGAATTCTGTTGCTAAGCAACAGTCATAAGGCACAATGTCACATGACCATATTGACTTACAAGATCAGGTCTGGTGCTCCCAGTTGCTATTGTTAGATGAATCCCATATGGTTGCAGCATCTCATAATCACCACTTGCAACTTCCTGATGGGTTCCCATTGGTTTTGCTAATAGGAATCCAATGGTGAGGGTCACAAATGGCAATCAGATGACCATTGACCACAGGATGCTGCAACATCAAAATAGCAAACTAGAAATTGCACACAACAGATGAACATGTACCATCAGCATTTTCTTCATTCCTACTATCTTTGTAGCCCTCTAAGTAAGCTCTTCATTGTTCAGGAGAGCAGGAGTTGCAACTGACATTAAACTGACTTCCACAATTTGACATTCGCAAATCTTTTTTTTTTACAGTAGTATTTATATGAGTATGGTATGCTTCCTAATACTGATTTCTAAAATCATAGCAATAGCAGCAAGAAAAGAAAAAAAAGAAAAGAAAAGAAAAGAAAAGAAAAAGAAAAAGAAAAAAGTTAAACATGGTCTTCAGTGAGTAATACTCTTACCAGCCCAGAAAACCAGGACTGAAGAAGCTGACTGGAATATTGCTACTAACGAAACAGCATATCCTGGTCCATATAATCAGTAGGGTTTGAGCTCAACTCAAAAAGTTTTTTTCCCCTAAAAAAAGACTGATTGTTTTCTTGTATTCAGCTTTTACTGCCCAATAAGCTAGGCAGTATGCTAAAAGAAATACAAAGAACCATTTGCCAGATTGGGCAATACTTCCCTACTAATTACTACTACTCTTAAGGATGACAAAACTAGTCATGTGACACTATATGAGCCATGGTGGCACAGTGATTAGAGTGCAGTACTGCAGGCTACTTCTGCTGACTGCCGGCTGACTGCAATTTGGCAGTTCAAATCTCACCAGGCTAAAAGTTGACTCAGCCTTCTATCCTTCCAAGGTGGGTAAAATGAGGACCCAAATTGTTGTGCAAAATATGCTGATTCTGTAAACCACTTAGAGAGGCTGTAAAGCACTGTAAAGCGGTATATAAGTCTAAGTGCTATTGCTATATTACCACACAATGGAATCAGAAGCAAAGATACCTGTTGATTTATAGCTTTGTAATGGAGATTTTCTGAACTGTAACTTACAGGGTTTTTTTGCTTTGGCTGAAAAACCAATATTTGAAATGTCAGATATTTACTCCCCAAGAGAAATCAAATGAAGCTGTTTTTCTATTGAAATTCATCTTGCAGATAGACATGTCTGAAAATTGCTGAAAGTCAATTCTATTTTTACTATATTATTCATCTTTCTTGCTAATTATTTTTGGTAATATAGTGGATCATTTAAAAAAATAGGAAGAGAGAAATTAGCAAGAGAGCTATTAAAATATATAAACATTTCTGCAAGAAAGGAAAAGGAGAGATGAGTATACAAGCTATTGATTAAAGCAAAGGTTTACCTGAATAGTGATGCTTTCTATCAACATGTTCTTTTCTGTGGGGTCCTTGTTGCTCTCTGAGCTTGGTTGTTTTCTTGCAGATGTTTTATTGCCACATAGATAACATCATCATGTTCTTTTTTTTTTCTGGAAAAAATAACATATCTCAAACCATATGGAAATAGGTTTTATTGGGAATTTAATGAATATATCTGACGAAGTTTTATAATTTTGACTTTATAATCTTGCACAGAGCTATTCAATCGTCTGAATGACTATAATGTGGCAGGAAATATTTTTGCTATCATTTGTTAACAAAGATGTATTATACACACACATTTTGCCCCTTTATTTAGTATTATCCTATGCTATAAGGTATACTCATAAATAATTGCTATTCCTAGGATCTCCGACAATTGAATCAATCTGTTTCAGATAGATTTGGAAGACATCTGAATAAATTGAATAAATAAAGTTTTTCTGAACTATATCAAACATTTGTTTTTGGTAGGAGAATTCAGATGAACTCAGAGATTTTATATCTGCAAAATTGAACACATTTCTCCTAAGCTCTCCATAATAAGAAAACAACTGGGGTATGGAGAGAAGAAAAAATACGGCATAGTTCTACAACTAATTGTCTTACCTTCCATCAAAGTGAGTGGTTTTATGAAGTTTTCCAGTTACAGTACTCTTGAAGTCTATTTTTTATTTTGACAAGCAGGAAAGATAGTTTTGGCAAGACACATTCTACTGATTACAGCACTAAATATGCTGATATTCAAGTTTTGCTTATCTTTTGTTTTGTTTTCCATCTATCATCCATCTTTATCTTATTGCATGTCTTAAAGTTAGCCCCAATTCAATCCAACAGAATGTTAACATCAATCAAACAGAACAAAAAAACAATAGCTTGGTAATTTTACTCTGCATTTATCTTTCTGAAATTTTGTAGGTTCCTTGTGCCTTTATGCGTGTGTCATTTTCATGCAGTTTGCAAATAAATAAACAAGCAACATACTATGGAGGAGGAATCAATTTTCTGCAAAATCCACCTCAATTATCATTCTGACATGTTTTAGGGTCACCTCGATCTATATTCTACTAAAACTCCCTTGTCTGTTTGTAATCTTCAGTTGGATATAATGGTACATCATGGGCAACATTTTTTGTAGCAATATAATTGAAATGGGCTAATTTAAGGCATGCATCCAAAATCCAGGTTCCATTACTCCCATGGGATTGAAATTTGGTTAAGTAGGGGCCACTTCCTTAGCATTGCCACCGTGCCACATGTGATAGTCTTTCCAACACTCCCTGTCAGCTTTCTGAAGATAAGTCAATGGGGAAACTGATAGGAAGTCAGAACTCACTCTCACTTCTTTTTTTGCCTACCCATGGCCATTCTATTTCTCTATTTAGATAACCATATATCTCTAAAACACTGACCTAAGGGTCATGGGTTGTCTACTATTCTCTGAAAAAATAGTAATCTCAAACTAAATAGGCTTGACCAGTGGTGGGTTGCCCCCGGTTCGAACCGGTAGTAAAATCAGCGGGAGGCCCCGCCCACTGCCCTGGATGTCATCAGTGATCTGCGCATGCACAGAAGTGATCCCGTTGCGAACCGGTGGTAAAGGCCTGACCCCTCCCAAGATTCATTTGTAAATTTAATCTATCTCTGGAAAGAAATAAAAAGATGACTGATGTTTGTTTGTTTTTTACTTTTGAAAAGCAAGCAAGCACAAGGAAGCAGCAGATTGCATTGTACCTAACCACATATAATTATCAGTTAGTTATTAATGAAGTCTCCATTTAATTCTGTTAAACATAGAAAAATATGGATTCTCACAAGCTATGGATGCTCAGAATTTCAAGTTTAGATGGATTTTTTAATAATCAGCTTGTTAAATTATATCTCTAACAGGACCTAAATAAAGTTCAGAACGACCAAGCTTTCTAAATTTCTTTCAATGTCTTTAGACAAGGATGAAAGAAATTTATAACACTCCTGCTTATGGAACTTGACTAGCATGTTATAGTGATGCATCAATCTATTCAACAGAATATTATTTCCCAGTTACTGCATTTATGAATGAGTTAGAGTAACTTTCATTCAGTTATTGAACAAATAAAAATCATTTCAGGAAAAAAAGTTATTGTATCCACTCTAAAAAATATAAACTGTACTGAAGTGCCCTCTATTGGTGATTCAAATGTGGTGTGCTTTTAAATATATTTTTATATATATTTAATTTTATTTTTATATTTATATATATAAATATATATAAATATATTTATATTTATATATTTTTATTTTTATTTTTATATATATTTAATTTTATATTTAAAATATATTTTTCTATTGTATTTTTTTCATCTTTCTCAGATACACAAGGTCACATTTGTAAGATCAAGAGCCATAAATTGATTTAAATAAATATATTAAAAACAAAATAGTAAATATTGAAAAATGCATTGTTGATTATTAAATAATTTTCTTGAAAAGATAACACTATCTTTTGGGTTTATGTATCCCATATATCAGTGATGGATAATCTTTTTGCCATTGCGTGCCAGGAGCAGGGGGAGGGGGAGGTCGCACATGCATGTGCCCATACACATAATTCTATGTGCCCTGCCCCCGCGCATGCGCACGCAACCCCCCCATGCTCCTGACAAATGATGGCACTGTAGGCCCGTTTTTTGCTGTCCCCAACCTCCAGAGCCTTTCTAGCAGTCTGGGGAGGTTGAAAACGGCCTTCCCCATCCCCTAGAGACTCTCTGGAGGCCAAAAGCGGCCCGTTTGCCAACTTCTGGTCCCTTTCTGGTCTCCTATCTGGTCTCCAGGGGGGTGGGGAAGGCTGTTTTCACCCTCCCCAGACTCCTAGAAAGGTTTGGAGGCTGGGGACAGCAAAAAATGGGACTTCCGGTGCTACCGGAAGTTGGCAAATGGGCAATTTCTGGCCTCTGGAGGGCCTCCAAGGTGGGGGTGGGGAAGGCTGATTTCACCCTCCCCAGACTCCTAGAAAGGCTCTGAAGGCTGGGGAGAGAGAAAAACGGGCCTTCCCCCCACCACCCCAAGGTCCTCCGGAGACAGAAAACTGCCTGTTTCCCTACTTCTGGTGGGCCCAGAAGACCCAAAAATCAGCTGGCCGGCGCGCACATGTGTGCCGGAGCTGAGCTCACATGCCCACTGATGTGGCCATAGATACATTTAAGTAGTTTTCATCTGCATTGATATATATGGTCACTATCTATATTTCTCAGAGAATAAGAAAATTTATATTTTTCTGAATTGGGTGCAACTATGTTTATGCTAGAAAGCATACCATGCATATTTGGGCAGCCACTGGGTGAAATAAAATGTTGGTCTAAATAGGCCTTTGCCTGATACAGCCGGCTGTTGTTGTTGGCAGTTTCTCTTGAACTAGATAAATACTAGTTTATCTGTATTTAAAGTCTGTGTAAAGTCACTCTCAGTTACACTTTAAGCTCTCGGAGCAGAAAATTATATACTATATGTAACAATACACCATGATCCCATGTTTGGAGTTCACAAGACTTTAGTTTCTCTATTTTACAGCACATATCCTGTGTGGAGTTTTCAGATATGCTGATCTCAAGAAGGTAGCAGATCATCAGTTTCATCCAATTCGGATTTATCAAAGATAGATAAATGGTTTTCAGTAGGGTTCAAATCCTTTACTGACAATTGAACTCATGGACATTTGTAGTTTAGGAAAGATAGTATAATGGTATGTGGAATGGATTCTTGGAGACGGGTTGAACAGATATTGCCTAAGGAACAATTAGATAAGAGAGGGCACAGCCTGCATCTGCTTAACAGGAAAGAAACTGAGAAGGGAACCTCTTTAACTGTAAAAAGCACATCTGTATTATCAGATTTACAAGATTCTGTTAATATAGCCTTACAACAAAGTAGAATTAGCTATTCTTGACAGAAAGCATCTAAATTAGTACACTGTATATCTGAAGTACAAAGGCCCAGAGTTTAATTCCTAGTAGAAAATTTGAATCTCATAGAACTATGATGGCAAACCTATGGCACCTGTAGGCACGCAAGCGGTGCCTTAGCTCAGCTCCAACGCGCATGAGTGAGCCAGCCAGTTGATTTTTGGGCTTTCCGGTCCTACTAGAAGTTGGGAAATGGGGTGTTTCCAGCCTCCGGAGGGCCTCCGGGGGAGGGAGAGGCCGTTTTTGTCCTCCCCAGGCTCCAGAGGCTTTCTAGGAGCCTGTGGAGGGCAAAAAGGGCCTTCCCCATCCACCCGGAGGCCCTCCGGAGGCAAGAAACAGCCCATTTCCTAACTTCCGGTGGGACAGGAAGGCCCATTTTTCGCCCTCCCCAGGCTCCAGAGGCTTTCTAAGAGCCTGGCGAAGGGGGGAAACGGCCTTCCCCACCCTCTGGGTTTCAGTGTCTGAGGAGAATGTTGTGCATCATGCATTCCCACCTGTTGAACTAGGCCCAGGGGAACTCATGTTCAAGTTCATTTTCAGCCACTGAAGCTCATTGGATAATGTTAAGACCCAACTCTCTCTTTCAGCTTAACCTTTCTCACAAGGTGATTGATGTAGCAAAAAAATGGAAGAAGACGTGCTAGTTACTGTATATGTAGACAAGGAGAAAGCTCCAGATATAAATTACAAATAAGTAAAATAAAGACATGAGAAAACCATTTGTCTTTTAATGTCTCTCCCAGGTTTATTTAAATATATATGAGAACATTAAATAATTTGAAAGTAAGAAGAAAAGAGGATGGAGAGAATTTGGATGGATAGGATAAACTGCTCCTTCTGGTTTCCGAGTCTGCTCTCAACTTCTTCAGGGCATGTAGTCTTTTCTTCTGGACCTTTAGTTTAATATTCAGTATTCTCGCTGTTGAGAAATGCCAAGAAAAGCAAAGTAAAAAGCTTTGTAACCATGTCTGGCTGTGACTATTTGATTTTAATTCCATGTCTGTTTATGCTCCCTTTATAATTTTGCACAGTAAGGTTTGTCCTAATGTGAGATAGACCAGAATGTGACTGTTCAGTCTTTGTGTATTCTAAGTATGCTTTTTCCTGGGTGAAAGTTATTAATAATCAATAACTATAATTTTGCATGAAAACTTAATATACTAATTCCA